GATAAGCGTGAACTAGTCGTGAACGGTGCGGAAGCCTTCCAGTTCGTGCCCCAAAATGGCACGACTCACAGAGACAAAATCGTAGTCAATGATGTTGCAAGTTTCAGGCCGCCATGGATGAGATAACACTATTATCTCATCCATGAGGCTAAACATCGCCCAGGCGCACCGCCCATTTCTTAAAATAAAAACATAAAATATTTACAAATATTGCAGACGGTTTTTGCCACCCTGACCGACCGCTAATGCCGGCACTGGATCTGGACGTGACGCCAATCTGCTCATTTCTGGTTCCAGAAACATCAAGTCGCTTCCAATGAGCCCACGTAGTGCGAATCTGCCGAGAGTTATCGAAACTCTGTATGCGCGCCCGGGGCGGCCCTGGCCCACCATTTCCCGGCAACCCATTCAGGTTTATGTGGGTACGATCGGTCACGCCAGCCGTTCATTCACAACCGGGCCTCATTAAACCAGCTCGGCAGCCATCAGCGAGCGGCGGATGAGTGTAAATGAAATGAGCCAGTAGGATGCATGTGTATGCTTGTGCTGGGAGAGGAACGCTAATGTTCCCAAAGACGGCCTTGAATGTGAGTCCAAAATGGCGGGCGGCTATAGACTTGGAGAAGATTCGCTGACGATAACAATGGCTGATATGATAGTGCATAAGCCAGGACTCGAAAAGACCAAGACTGTAGGTACTTAGACAGTGTCATTCGAAAAGTTTTGCTGAATCGCGTCCTCATTGGATTCTAAAAATAACACATTGGACACGATCCTTTACATAAAGTATAAACATCGATTATGTGGCGAATGTGTCCCGTTCACTGAACGATTTTTTTCCTGTTTTCCGGTTTTAATTCCAGTATGAGCAGCCCAATGTAATTCAACCACGCTGTCGGAAAATGAATTGAGCACGAGCACGTTGGCCACTGTGACTATCGTACAATCGTAGACACCGACCTGTGACAGTGCCTTTGGGCAGCAGTACCTATTGCTTTCTATTAGGCACTGACATTTAGTTGGGTGTTTTTCTTTTCATGTCGCTGTTGATTGAAGAAGATATAATTCCTTTGAGTATAACTTTTAAACCACAAAATGCTAAGAACATCATTGTTTGACAGATAATATGCCCATTTCTTCCTGCATACACAATTCCACTCGTGTTGTACGAATTCCTAATAATGAGCAACAGAGGCATTTGTTTTAACAAAGGTGCAGCCAACCGCACACAAATCTATAGCAAAACGAATAAATAACAGTCGAAGTCAAATCCAGAGTCCCGAACCAGCCGACGCAGGCAACATTCATTCGTCAATTGCCAAGCTATTCTCAGACCATCTCATTAAAACAAAAAACCAACCAGACGGCAACTCTAGAAAGCACTTTGTGATCGCCGTGCCTCCTTTAGTCACCACTTACAGCCACTTAGGTCTTGTCCTCGCCAATGCAGAGACACTGCTGCCATACAACAATAATCGCTTTATCGGAGTGTTATCGCACGGAGCAGCCAATTCAAAGCGCTGTTATCCCGACTGATGCCGTCTTAGACGGCGGACCGCCCACAAAGGCGGTGTACGAACAGGGCTTGGTAGACTACCTACTGAGGTATCCGCGCACTTCTGTTGTGCCCACCGCGCGCCGATGCTGGTCAAACCACCGGCGGAAAAGCTGGAATCGGTCGAACTACCGGGGTGAACTATTGTTCGAGATACTGCCTGCAATGCAGTCTAAATTGCTGGTCAAAATGTCCCCGAAACTATACTGATGGAGCTGCCGGTCGAACTAAGCAGGAGAAGAGCGATGGTGGCCGAGCGAACTGACCTATCTGTTCGACCGGCTAGAGAACATCTCTCCCCGGCCGGAAAGCAGCACGCCCGGCCCGTAAGGCGTTCCGCTGCTGGAGCGGTGGGAGGACGTCTCCACGAGTTACGCCGCTCCCATGCATATTGTGGGCGGTGCCCTCTGATGGGAGCACAGCGCCGACCGCGCGGTCACCGGTGGTATTTCACGCGGGTCTGTAAACAGCGCACCGGCAGCGGCGGGGGCTGCGGGAGCGGCCCCGGAGGAACCCGCCCCCTCCCCGCCCACCGGCCGCCACCCATAATCAGCCGGCAGTTTATCGCGCTCACCCCGGCCCGTCTTTGAGACGCTACCAGCACGCTGATGGGTGTATTATTGGATCAATGATTTATGCTGAATTGGCCGGCCGACAACAGAGAAGGGGTGGTCCGACGGACGTCGCGCCGCGCTCGGCTCGTGATTGGACGCCGGGGGTCGGTGAGGCGGTGGAGCGGCCGGCTGCGGAGGGGCCAAATGGGCAGATCGTGCCGACTCTGTGTGCCGGATGCAAGGTAAGGTCGGCGGCTGCCAGTGGAGGCAATGAACAACAATGGTGACTTCATAGTCGGCCGGAGATGACTGCCGCCGGCCACGGCAGAGGCGACGGAGGGGGCGGGGCGACGGCAGAGAGGGGGAGGGGGTCGCAGAGGCGACCGCGGGAGACGACAGAGACGAAGGAAAGGGAGATCGGATGATGGCGACAGATAAGGCGGAGAACGGCAAAGACTGGGATACCAGCGAGACGAAACGAGAAAGGAGACTCCAGTTCAGATATGGCAGCCTATTCCGCTGCCCTTTCAGTTCCATTGCGGCTGAAGCGATTCCGACATCACCTATTCCAGACTCAGCTGGACGGAAATTCAGAAATGATTCGATCTTATCGCTGGCGTCAGTGTACTGTTAACGGCTCAGCACACTGTTCTCTTTTCTTCCTCAGAAGAGTTTCACATTGCTTTTCTTGTATCACAGACCATGAGACTGTGATGGTTTCCCATCCCAGACATAAAATCAACTCTTGTGTATAGTCGACTACAGAATGATGTTCCACTCCTCAGAAGCTATCAGTTGACCGGAGCGCTAAGTTGTGCCGTTAATCACGCAATTAAGCGTATCGATTGTGAGCATTGGGACAAAGCTATAATTTGTGAACTCAGTCCGTGTGATGCGGCACAGCCTACCACTCCAGGCAAATAATTGCCTGTGAAAAGTGGAACATCATTCTGTAGTCGACTATACTGTGTTTCGAAGTAGATCCATCGAGTGTCCTGCGCAGCTCCAGCTGGTAACTATCTCCCCACTTTTAACGTATGTAACGGGAAATCATAGCTGCGCATATCCGAATGATCACAAAAAGAGAAACTGGTACTTTTCGGCGCGCCCAGTCTCGGTCGAATCCTTCAATGAAGTAGAAAATAAATTCCACTCGCTCACTGATGGGGGATGGCGTCACTACTATTTTAAGCGGGTACGTAAAGACAGGCTATAATTGAACAAATTACCTATAATGATATACTGTCAAACCCAATTACCAGCGCTGTGCTGCTAATTTTCGGCCACAAATACCGCCATGAATTGGGTTAGTTGCAGTCGCCAGAACGTTAACAAGCCGACCGTTTCAGTTGCTCTGCAGTCGGTACATTGCGTATCTACACACCTTAGTATCGTCAGCATATTTGTGGATTATTAAGTAGAGTTATGCGTAAAAGGAAAACAGCAACTCATCATCCGAATTCAGATGAAAGCCTTATACACGCAGTTTTTTGGCGGTAAACAAGCCACACAGGACGTGCTACGGAAAATGGCGATAGGCGCAAATAGTCACTCACATGCGCGTAGATTAGTATACCGTAGACGGTTCCCGGTCGTATCTAAGTACATTTTGGAAATGAGAACGGGCCGACGGCCGTAGCCCCAATACGGTTCGTATCACTGGGAGACGAGTACATATAAACGGTAATATAGGCCGGGAAATGGATGCGATTCGCATGCGACAAGAAATGCACCAGGCACAGGCAACCTGACAATATTCGTATCAAGGTTGTCACATGCAGGTTCCATTCGTCCCGGGGCTTCAATGGCGCCCAAACTTACCTTAGAAGGATCCAGAAGCCGCCACATGGAGGCATCAAGGTGCAGGAGGGGGAGGATCCAACGGTCTGGATATTCACAATTGAGGAAGGAGGAACCCGTCTGGAAGCAAAAAGGGTCTCGATGTTAGTACCTATTCAGGGAACATAATTCATGCAGATATTCACATGAAATGTACATGAGAAGACAAAACTAGGCAATGTATCAATTGAATCATGCAGCAGGCAACATGCGAAAATGCAGTGCCAACACCAAACAAAGCCAACTCGACACGCAAAATTCCTTTGTTTTGTTTCGTCGCGCCCTTTCGGTCTACCGACATTATTTCGGGGCGATGGGATGAGAGGATAAGGGAAGAAATTGAACCTAATTGTCTGGGTCAATCGACGCCTGAAGTGTCACCCCGGCTAACCCAGTCCAGTACGTGGAACGGACACGCAGGCTGTAACTATGTAGAGCTGCTCACACCATTTGTCTGGATGGGGTGAGGATGGATGAGGATGACTGATGCTGGATGAGGATGACTGATCAAGGATGAGGATGACTGATGCTGAGGATAAAAGGACAAATGAACACACAAGACAGGCAACGGCATGCTGGCACTCATCAACAGAACATCACCATTCACCAAACCTTGCACCAACTCACATTAAGGCACGATAAAAAAAAGACAGTACGGTAACAAACGTCGCAGAATCGACACCCAAAGCTCAAAGCAAGCAGTTCTTAAATTAAAGTACACCCATAGCAGAGAATGAAAGATGTCATGCATAGTGAGAGAGCCGAGAGAATAGGCATCTGATTCGTACTCACAGTGTCACCTAGCGGCCGACAACGTAACTGAAGGCTTATGAGGGCGATCACCGCAGATATAACTGAGATGACATGACTGCCAATGATGGTCGAAAACGTGTTCTTTCGCTCAGGAAGGCAGGATACACCAGAAGCATAATGTTGCTGGTATTTACCATTATTGACTTAGTAGATCTGCTTCTTAAATGTACGATGCTATATCGTGTTTCATCTGCTTGTTAAGCACTTCATCTTAACAATGAACTTAGTGTAGTCGATTCGCTGGCACCTGTCATTGTATTTGCCTGTATAATACACATACACGATGGGACATTTCGCATTTGTTACCAACTATACAAAAATGTCGGAACCTTTCGTTTAGTGCTTTCACATACTCTACTGGCCTGAAATGTTCGAACTCTAAAAAATATCTACATAAAGTTTCGTTAACCTATCACAACCCACATCTCAAGACTACACACCATCTCATCAACACAGCCCAACTATTCAGAAACATTGACATCACCATCACCTAAAAATTCACTCGAAACTCCATCAGATACATCACATCACACTACATCACTGAGCCATCACACTCACATGTTGCCATGACAACTATTGCACAATTCGGTAGCCCTGCGCGAGTCACCGTCTGTTCACAGTCTCGCTCACAATATCCGCGGGCACCTCTCGTTCGGCTGGCCCGTTACTAAGTGACGAGGAACGCTGAGATTGCTGTCGGCAGTCAGTCCCGAGGCTTACTTACGGTCGCTGGTGACTGGATAGTGCTTGCCGTACTCCTTCATGTGATCCCGCATGGACTTCATTTGGGCCCTGCAGGAAGCGGGATTTCGGTCAAATACACAAAACGGACGCACTTAATATGTAGATGGTCACATGGGCTTCATCTGGGTCCTGTATAAGGAACGTGTTATCAGTCACATACAGACGCGTACAGAGCGTTCTCGACAATGGTTACATGGACTTTACCTGAGACCTGCACGAAATAAACATAGATAATAGGGAAGGTCCAGAATCATCACACAAAAAGAGTGACGCGTTTAGCATCAGCCTAACACCAGTATGATGCTTCGAAAAACCAGGGTGAGATTTAGCATGTCTGAACTGTCTCAACCGTTTACTCCCGTAAGTCCTGGTAAGCCCGACACAGCCTCGGCGCGGCGGCCCACTCACTCTAGGTGTGGCGGCATCTCGTGGTAGACGTCGGTAAAGACGTTCTCCCAGCTGGCTAGGGGGCGCTTCTCGGCCCGCTGAAACGCCTCCATCACCTGGTGACAGGGGCGGGGGAGGGGGGTCAGAGGGGGCGCTTTTCGGCCCGCTGAAACGCCTCCATCACCTGGTGACCGGGGGTAGGGGAGAGGAGGGTCAGAGGGTTCAGCAGGGGCGGCCTGGAGGTGGTGTCATGGAGATGACGTTAGCAGGACAGACGAATATAACGTTATCGAGGGACTGTAAATTGGCGGTTGGTAGCGTCTCACGACGACGGCACATTTCAATTACTCCATACGTCTATTCATGATCAAGAGTTGGAATGAAGTAAGTCGGTAAAAAAAAAACAAAAAAAAAACATAGAAGACGAATAATGTCACTGCAACAAGACGCAAAAAGCAATAACTACTTGTCCCTATATGAGACAAATATACCGATAACCAAATGTCCTCCATACCGCAGGTATGATAAAATATTTCCGAACGAGCCAAGAACAAGATCGTACTAAGCTTCCATACCACAGCTGCATACCGGACTGCTCCGTTCCCGCACCTGTTTTTTGGCCGAGTTTTTCCACTCCTTCTCCTTCTGTTCGTTCCAGAGTCCCTTGTGTGAGAGGTAGAGCCTCATCCGGGCGATGGGATGGTCCGTGGAGTCCCAGTAGCGGACCTCATCCACCGAGCGGTAGGCCGAGCTGTCGTCCGAGGTACTGTGGTGGCCGATACTGGGGGAACAGAGACGTTACTGGTTAGAAGGTACGCCGAACCGTCGTCAGGTACTGTGGTGGCCGATACTGAGGAATAGAGACGTTACTGGTTAGAAGGTAGGCAGAGCAGAGCTGTCGTCAGACGTACTGTGGTGGCCGATACTGGGGAAATAGAGACGGGACATGGTTAGAAGGTAAGCAGAGCAGAGCTGTCGTCAGACGTACTGTGGTGGCCGATACTGGAGGAATAGAGACGGGATATGGTTAGAAGGTAGGCAGAGCAGAGCTGTCGTCTGAGGTACTGTGGTGGCCGATACTGAGGGACCGAGACGGGGAGGGGAAAGGTTAGATTGTGTGGCGGTCGGCAGCCATCCGTCCGGCGTCAGTGGAGGAGGGAAGGAACGATAAGATAATCAATGGATTATGCCAAGTGAATTGCGACCAGTGCGATGACGCAAAGCAGGGCTGCGGAGTCGGAGTCGGGAGTTGGAGTCGGTCGGAGTCGACAATTCTGCCCGGAGTCGGAGTCGGAGTCGGAGCTGGTTTTTGAAAGCCGGAGTCGGAGTCGGAGTCGGAGTCGCCGAAAATCCGTCGACTCCGCAGCCCTGGCGCAAAGTATCTTATATAAACGGATTGGGTGTCTACAAACATGGTCTTTCATTCGATGGGCCACCCTGTCCCAGAGGCTGTAGCAAGTGAAAAGCTGCAGCTCTAACAACAATACATATCTCTATTGCTGTCCCTCCAAACAAAAGCGTCCTTTCCGCAACATTACCAGTACCGTAATCAGCCGTTCTCTCAGAGAGCGAAAGACAGCTGAGGACTGACTTGTAAGCTTTCAGCACCACTTTCACTAATCTTCAGGAGTCATTCCCCCATTCCCCCCGGCCATTCCCCCCCCCCCCACTCTCAATCAATCCCCTCCCCTCTTCCTCCTGACCCACCGGTATGTCATGGCCTCGATGAGGACGGGCTTGTTCTCGTTGATGGCCATGTTCCTCGCCGCCACCGTGGCGTTGTACACGGCCAACGTGTCGTTACCGTCCACGCGGATGGAGGCGATGCCGTACGCCGGTCCCCGGCCAGCGATACCATCCCCGCGGTACTGCTCGCGCGTCGGAGTCGAGATGGCGTAACCGTTGTTACGGCTGGCGGAGAGATGAAAAGGAGAGGGTGAGAAGGGAAGAGACACGTTTCATTGCCTCATTTTATCAAAGAGAACACAAAGGTGAATAGAGAGCGTCCGCACGAGTTAAGTGCAAGAGGCATCCTAATTCGTCTTCCGGTATGTAAAAACACACATATTTGGTACTCACGAACAGCTTTTGAAAAAAGCAAACGCATGCTAAAATAATATATATCACAGTAACATATCACTGTGATAAATATCACAGTTTTCGATCTAGGCAATATTCTCTCGCTCTCGATTACGAGAAACCCCCCGGCCGCTGCGGCGCGTCTCACCAGAAGAATATGATGGGTGCGTCGAGCACGGCGGCGAAGTTGAAGGCGGCGTGGGCGTCTCCCTCGCTGGAGCTGCCCTCGCCAAAGTAGCAGATGACGCAGCGCTTCTCCGGGCTGCGCTTGAAGGCGTACGCCGTGCCCACCGCTGGTGAGGGGGGGGGAGAGGGTCAGGGGGCCATGGCCATGAGTAAACTGGGAATGAAAAGTATAAAGTGTCCCAATCATGCTTAAACAAAATCATAGGTTTGCAAAAAACGAATCCCCCCCCCCCAAAAAAAAACAGTCGCAAACCTATCTAGCAGCACGTCCCCCACAACGGACGCTTGAGCCCGAAAGGCTATGCACCCTACTCCGAGACAAGACAAGTCCCCCCACGGCCCGCTCCCCGCGGTCCCAATTGTCCCACCTTGCGGCATCTGGGTGGCCAGCGGTGATGAGATGGTACAGAAGTTGTGGGCCGGCGATCCGTAGTGGATGGGCATCTGGCGGCCCTTCCCGGCGTCCATCTCATTGCCGTAGCACTGGTTCATGAACTGGTCCAGCGTGTAACCGCGGTACATCAGCACTCCTGGGGGGGGGGGGCATCAACACTGGTTCATGAACTGGTCCAGCGTGTAGCCGCGGTACATCAGCACTCCTGGGGGGGGGGGGGGCATCAACACTGGTTCATGAACTGGTCCAGCGTGTAGCCGCGGTACATCAGCACTCCTGGGGGGGGGGGGGGCATCAACACTGGTTCATGAACTGGTCCAGCGTGTAGCCGCGGTACATCAGCACTCCTGGGGGGGGGGGGGGGGCATCAACACTGGTTCATGAACTGGTCCAGCGTGTAGCCGCGGTACATCAGCACTCCTGAAGACAGCGAAGATTTAGGAGAAGAGCCAGGGACAGCCTAGTTCCAACATAGGACGAGACGCTAACATACAAAACAGGAGATGCCACTGGTATTGAATGCAATGTGTCAGCAAGCTCACGATATAATAATCCACTCGCTTCAAATATTAACCTTACTGCGTTTCGATCGGTGTGAATGTTACCCGACTGGTGATATTATGAGTCTAAACGACACCTAACCCGAGATAGTTAAGTCCAAGGCCCTAAATACAAAACCTATCTAGTCAAAACCTAGGTTAAGTCGAAACGTTACCTGACTCCCGGTACTGGCCGTAAATGAAGTCCTTGGGGTCCAGCGCCGCCGCCGAGCCCATATGGGTTCCCTCCTCGCCGTAATTGGTCATGTAGAACGATATCCTGTCGATGAAGAACAACACCACGGTAAGCGAGACTCGCGGCAACAAAATAAAAGTACTTTGTCGGATAAGCTAATTCACGGCATGTATAGTCAAAATGTTGAAATGACAGAACTTCCCAACGCATTTTTTTATTCTTAGCTAAGTAACCATCAGTTTCTTGGTGAGCGATGGTTGAAAATGGGACCTTTTACACAGACGTAGTCCTTAAACGCGCCCAAATATCAGTCATCCACATACTGATCGAGTCGCATTACGGCGTGCCTCAGCCGGTCGCAAGATTTACCCACCTGCCCTGTCGCTGCGACTCGTACAGGATCTTGTCCATAGTGTTGAGCAGCGTCATCTTCTGGTACATGTCGATCAGCGTGTCGTCAGGAATCTGCGGAACAGAGAGGGGCGGGGAGGATAAATAAGACGGCATGGTTCCGTCGAGGCACCGCATTATTGCATATTATGATAATTTTGTCGAAGTAGGTACTCATATTTTCGCGATGTGCAAGAACAAAAAGAAGAGGAAAATCCAGACTCTTATGCTATGATCCAAAACTTCGATAAGCACTCACCCATCAATAAATTTTTCATCGATACATATACCGATAACGATCTATCGACAAACATTACATTTTATCAATCCATAAGTAACATCGATAAAAACGTATCCATATATATTCCCACCGGATTACCTGTCAAAATAGGGTATCCATAACAGACCAATTTCGAACAGAGCGGAGCACAACAAACTGTCTAATCACCCGTCAACAGCCATATTTCCGGTATCCGGTGTCGAACCGCTAACTTCCCCACCTCTCCCCTCCAACTTCCCACCTATTGGACGCACCTTGGGCTCGTCCTTGGCCTGGATGACGCGCCCGCTGCGGTCCATCACCCGGTACACGGGGATGCCGTTGTAGCGGTCCGCGTTGACGAACTCCAGGTCGTGTGTCCAGCTGGCCGTGGCGCCCGGAAACTGCGGGCGCACCTCCGAGCCATCGCTGCCGACTGCGTCTGTCGGGGTGTAGCCGCCGACACCCTCACCGTACCACCGTCGCTGTGGGAGGGAGGGGCGAGGTCAGGGGCTGTAGCCGCCGACACCTTCACCGTACCACCGCCGCTGTGGGAGGGAGGGGGAGGTCAGGGGCTGCTGAGATCCTCACTGTATCACTGTCACTGAAAGGAGGGGAGGGATGGGGTCAGGGGTGTACTCGCCAACACCCTCACCATACCGTCCTCCCTGCTAGGAGATGGGGGAGGGTGAATAGGGGGCATAGCTGACAATGACCTCACCATAAACACTACAAGGAGGGGAAGGAGGGCAGAAAGGGGTCAGGTAAGGGTAGTGACATTGTAGTGACATGCTGAACTATAGTGCTAGCACTACTAGCATGACAATGCTCAAAATAAATGTGTGTCTGAGACCTGAGTCAAAAACTCAGCTGGGACACCAATGGGCACTGTGCAGTTGACCATTTCCATCTTCTGAAGCATGGAATTATGTGGTACCTACAACTTTCAGTCTTGTTCAGTGGGTGCTGTTAAAAAGCACCTGACCTTCTGCAACTAAGCACTGATTTTATTATAATTTAATATTTTCATGAAGCATCTGAATCTGTAGAAAATGGATAGGTACCATTGTGCAAGATCCGACATTTACGCTCGGGCCTCGGATCATACTAAAATTGCAGCAGGGGCAAACTTCAAAGGCTTTCTGAGTTCCCCATTTTAGCGGTAACTATCTCAAACTTAAAAGGTCAGGATACCGCACCCACTAAAGTAAAAAATATATGAACTTCCCCAAGTTTCCCCTTAACTCACATTTGAGCTGGCAGGACCATAAATACATTTTGGAGCAAATGAAGCACGAGCCAAGGGACACAGTTTGCTGAAGCCAGTCTTCAACATCTTAATCAAGCGTCTGACAGAATTTATGTGAAACAAATCAGGGAAAATAGCAATAATAACAACTAAAGTGCTGAACTGAAAAATTGTGTGGCGGATCGCGTAAAGGGCAGATTTGATGTAAAGTGCAAAGCAAGCTACCAAATGCTGAGTTCTACAAGCGATGGCTTGGCTCTGGGCTTGGCTTGTCCTAGGTGGTTCGCGTTAAAAAACGCCTAAGACTTGGCTGATTTATTTTCTTATTTTCAATGTTGAAATTAAGTTGGTAGCTAATTTGCTACAAAATTTAAAAATTTTGTTTCAAAAGTGTAAATTACTTTTTCTTTTGTTTGTTCTTTCAATGGATAAATGCAGTTTGATGATTTGGGCTATGAAACTCATCTCAATTCGGAGATCAAAAGAAAGGCCAAGTCAATGTGCTTTGAAAGTTCAACATGCAAAAAGTTTAGTGTAAACAAGTCTTTGAATTTATTTGTCACATCTGCGCAGAAAATGTCAATAGTTCACATTGAAGAAGAGAGAAGAGGAAGAGGTTGGGATCAAGGCCCTAAATACAGTTGGGATGGGATATTGGAAGTAAACTTAATTAGGTCAAAATTAGGCAAGTAAAATATTTATTAAGTGTCTGACCGTGCCCCATGCTTCCTTACTCTTTCCTTTTTTGTATAGAATGGTCGCTGACCATATTTGTAAAATACTGAGCTAGATATATTGTAATTTGATCCAGCCGGTTTTGCATCCTATTCTTGCTGCAATTTTTATATGGTAATAAAATACCAAATGAAATATATTGTGGAGTACCAATATTTAGCATATTAATGATTAAACTTAAGAACCAGTGTCAGCCATTTTGATTGTTTAGTTGTTCTACCATTGCATTTTGACTTAGCCATGCCGAGTACGGAACGGCACAAGACTGAGCTGCCCATCTGAGTCAAGTTGTTAGCTAACTTTCTGCTCCCACCCCTTTCCAGTTTTCCACCCTCTTGTACTCTGTTAGGTACCTACGTAATCTGACCTTGTGTCAACGGTCTGAGAGGTCTAGGATTTGGATTATTATGTTTATTTTTGTGCCATGATAATTTATTTGCATGTTCTTTCAGCTTTGATGTATTTACACTTTGGTGTACCTACTTGATTCAGACAAGATGGCAGAAGCAACTGGAACGATCACTGCAAATACAAAGTATGAGACTGCCTTAAAGTATAAACAAGATGGCAATGAGGCATTCAAGGCAAAGAACTTTAAGCTTGCTATCCGTAATTATCACAAGTGAGTGGTTGTTTTCATGTTGTTAATCTTTGTGATTCCTCACTGTTATCACTTTGCTGTTTTTTTTGCATGTTTCCAAGGAATACAAATACATGTTGCTGTCATTTGCTGAGTATTCACAGCATGCTTTAGAAAAATGTGTATCAGGTGATGAAATTTGTGACTGTTGTCTATCAATCTGTACCTACCATCGTAATGGCCGGCTACCAATTCCAACTAATTGGCATTTCTTGCATAGCTGTACTTCCTTGATGCACTATAAAAGTAATGCCTCTCTTTACCCCCCTATTTCATCCTCTCTCCCCTCTCTCCCTCCCCCGCCCCCAGAGCGCTACTGTATATCCGCGGGATCGACCAGCACGCAGTGAAGCTGCCCGCCATGCTCGGTAACGCTCGCCAGCAGCGCGACAGGGAACAGAGGCAGAGCGAGCTCACCGAGGAGCTCACGGGGAGCGTGGACGCCCTCAAAGTCGACACGTACAATAATCTCACAGGTGAGCGGGGAGAATCTCACCGGGGAAGGTGAGCTATCTGTCGCCGCAGGCGGTAATGGATTTCGAGTTTTACGGTGTTATCGGACAGTGGGAGACATTTCCGTGACGATCTCGCTTTGGGTCAGTACAATTCAGAGTGGTCTCAAATTGGGTAGTTGACAATTATGCTTAACAGGCAAAAAAGCGGACTACAGTCGACGTTATATGGAATGGCCTCCGGTGGTGGATGTAGGGATCGCGAGATTCTGAGAACCTTACCGAAGAACGGTCGATTTTTCGGGCGCTCGTTCGTGTATCGTGTCCTCCTTAGCTGAGATATTTCGCGCCATTTCCAGCCGCCCTGCTGCAGTGTGAGGACCGGTTCGACCTGCAGAAGATCCTCGAGTACTGCGACGAGGTGGCCGAGCTCAGCCCCAACAACCAAAAGTGTCTGTTCCGGCGCGGCCAGGCGTACGCGCGCGCCGGCGACTACGAGGAGGCCGAGCGGTGCCTGCTCAAGGCGCGCGAGCTGCTCAAAGAGAAAGGTGGGTGGGCTGATTGGGGACGGGATGGGGTCGATACAGGGTCACTACGGGTCAGCATGAGGTCACAATTGGTCAGCTGGATGCTGGAGTCCCAGGGAGATGCTTCTTTGCTTGTGGGAGCGGGGAGGTGCACCTTTGATCGACGCTTGTTTGGAAACGACTCACTGGGAAGTGAGGAATGCTCAGTGATGGTCGTGCCTGAGAAAGTGTGGTGTGCTTTGGATCAGCCCTATATGACGCTTACTGGAATATTGTGGCTATTGGTGCTTCCCTGAACTGTACGTCGCACGACCCTGCATGGGACTTGTTCGGACAGCCAGCATGTGGCTTAGAGGGTGCTGTTTGTTGGAGGAACGCCTTGTGACAATCCCCACTTCGTTCGTTTCTTGCTACCGTTTCCTTTTGCACCCGTGTTTTATTGTTGGCGCGCTAACCGCGGCACTCGGTGATGGGATTTTTGTGCTTGCTTCGGGCTAGGTGAGTTTCCTGCTTTTGCTGCGCTTCCTCACTCCTTATGATGATGACTATTATTGTTTTTTTTTTTTTAGCCAGCATTTTTACCGTAACTGCTCTCGTCGTAACTTGTTTACGGTAAATTTAATACTTGATAAGTTTGCTGTGCACAACCAAGTTTTATTTCACATGCAAAACATACAAGAACTGTATTTAAGTGTTTATATTAGAGCAACATTTTATGCTTCTTTTGTATCTATGTGATTTAGTTCGGGCGAATGCCGATCGTTCAGAGGAGAGTTTAGGTGTAGAACCTTATAACCCAACACAATGCACTGCGTATTGCATGCGGAAGTGCATCGTTAGTTATGTGTCTTGGTAATCCTTTATGTTTATTCGTTTTAACGTAAAATGAGCGTTGGTCAGTTTGACTTTTCACAATCTGTCATTTATCCGGTTGACAAGTTTCATTTATTTGTAGCTTGGTACTGGACTGATTAGAAACATTGTTTGATAACAGTCCTCCATCTCCCCATTTCAGACCCTGCGATTGAGAAGCTGCTCGTCACGTGTCGGCAGAACCTCAAGGTGCAGCACGAGAAGCAGAGGTCCATGTGCCGAAACATGTTCGGATCGTGACCGGGTGGCCCCAAAGGCTGACGGTCACGTGCTCGATCACGTGACAACCGGTACGGGTCATGTGACTGATATATAGAGTCACGTGACAGCCGCTCCGGGTCACGTGACGAAAGGGGTTGGATCTCAGCAGTGAGTGATGCGTCTTCCAGGCCGGTGTCAGGCGAAGTGCCCCGATATTGGCAGATATTTGTGATGCTCAGAGGCTGAGAGGGCGGATGTTTGCCATGTTCAGAGACTGAGATGTGAGTTCTGAAGTTACCGGCTGTCGTACTTATGTGACTGTGCGTGCTGTGTTCCAGAGAGATTGAAAATGTTACATTGTCCAGTGGACGTATACCGCTGGTCCCATGAGGAGTTGTGAGTTAACGCGGAGTTTCCCATTGTGTTGCCATCATTGCAGTTCACTGTTGATAACCGCAACTAACCGCTGGTTCGGTGCGCAAATGCACGCTGCAAAACCGTCGCTAAAATGGCTGTGTGTTGTAGATAAGCATAGCTTGACAATTGACATCGTCCACGGTTTGTTCCAGTTTATTTCGAGCATTTGTCTGGCTGTCTGTAACTCAGAGCTGGGTCGACAGGTGGGGACTCGACTGTCGCGTTCGGAGAGGACTGGCTTAGCAACTGTGACGTTGCTAGGGGGGGGGGATACATGCTCGTTGCAAAAACGGAATGTGAGAATGGCATTGTTCTGCACGATCTGTTTGTTATCGCATCAATATATTTTTGATGTTTTTGGATCAATATGGTGCATATGAAACCATGTTCTGTTCGTTGTTTTCATCTCTACTGGACATATGATTTAGGGATCTTGTTAATTCTTGATATATGGACAAAAGAAATGCAGTCATCGGAAAGCTACTCTCCAAGCATCAATGCGAATCATTCAGAATTCAGTTCCTATACTCGCTCAGGACTTTTCTGACCAAATAAGGTTCGTGACGGCATATTTGAGTCGACCCTTACCGACCCACCGTCGTGAGGGGCCGAGGCGTGGACTCCGGCGCGGGCTCGTCCGCAGCAGCCGTACGCTCGGCACGTCCTCTATCGACTCTGTGGCTACCCGTAGTTTTCGTTTCGTCGCTCAGATGCTGCTGGTGCTGCCACCTGTGCAGTGGACCTGCAAATTCATTTCAGTGGCTAGTCCAGCGAACAAAGCGACAAAAGCAGTTGTGATTAATTTATGATGGCGTTAGTGCTTTTATTCTAGTGTAGGCTATGTGGAGAAATAGTTCGATTTCACTGGACCTTGGTAGTGGCAAAATCATCCACCCTATCGGTGTGGAGCGTTGGCGACTGTAGGGGAGGGGCGGTTGCTCGCTGCGCCGAAGGAGGGGCATAAACTTCGCCCTTCGACCCGGGTTATATGATTTGTGTATGCTGCTTTCTGGCACCAGTTTCCATCCAGCTGATGGTCTCTATTTTTGTTTGACTCTCCATCTCGCACTGTGAGGTCAGTTTGAGGTTCAAGCTATTTAAACTAACAAGTGAACCATCGAGCCCTTCTGCACGGACCTAAGTGTTGTTCAAAATCCAGACATGCTGTTGAACACAGACCCTATCCGTTTTACAGTACCAACATCGACGCTCAGAGGTTTATATGTTTGTCTTTCAACCGGTCCCGGCTCCTTTTACCTCCCCTCACGCTGGACCATGTTTTCTCTCCCTCCCTCCCCCTCACTCCCTCCCCTCCCTCTCCTGTGACATTTGGTGAACGACTGAGAGCCGCTCCAATTATCCTCCGTTTCCCCCGTCTCGGTGGCTGTGAGCGGCGCGCAGCTGACCGCGTCC